ATAACATGTTTTTTCGAACATAGAACAAACAATCGAACGTTGTTCGCGAACGGATGGATTAGTCGAACGTATATGTTCCAGACATAATCGACGAACAGCCCCTGTTTGAACTCGATCGAACATATTATCGACAAATATCAAACAGTAATCGAACGAACAACGAACGTTCGCAAACTGTTCGGTTCGTTTCAGCCCTAGCACTGTTATTAGTAACCTGCAAGGGAACACAGATTCATTAAAAATAACATCTCTACTGATGATAACCTTAACCCCTGGTTTTCTCTATCCCACAGCCTATATCCTTTGGTTCCTTCTTGATATCCCAAAAATACACATCTTAGGGACCTAGGTTCTAATTTTCCATCTACTGTATGTGCATAGCCGCACGCCAAATACTCTTACGTGGTTGAGTGAGGTTTCTTCCTGTCCATCTTTCTCGGGCACACAAGCCAGTTGCACTAGAGGGAGTTCTATTTTCAAATAGGCAGCTGTGGTTAAAGCCTCTCCCCAAAGGACTTAGGTAGTCCAGCTGTGAAGAGGGCACCTAACCTTTTCTAACATGTTCTTTTCATCCTCTCAGCAACTCCATTTTGCTGAGGTGTACTCCTAACTATCCTATGTCTCATAATCCCCTGTCTTTACAATATGCTCAAACTCAGTGTTACAGAATTCCATACCATTGTCAATTCTGAGTGCTTTCACCTTTTTCTCCAGTTGGTTTTCTACTAAAGTCTTCCAACTCTTAAACTTGCTTAGTGCCTCATCTTTGGTTCTAAAAGGTAAACCACACTTTCCTACTGAAATCATCCACTATGGCTAGAAAGTAACTGTCCCCCATGAGTTTTGACTCTTTCTGGACCCCAAAGGTCAGCATAAGGTATCCAAACATCCCACAGACAGGTAGTTCCTTTTGGGAAGCTCAGCCTGTGCTGTTTGCCCATGCACACAATCTCACAAAACTTTAAGTCTGTACATTGTCATTTCCAAAGTACCCTTGCTGTTTGAGATAACTCATACCAGTTTGGCCTATATGCCCATCCTCAGGTGCCATTTTTCTGCATTAGAAGTGTTAGTAGATATAAAGCAGAATTAACATTCAACTGATAATATTGTCCACTCAATATATACAGACCATGCCTTTTCACACCCTCAAACAGAATTTGATCATTCTTGTACACAGTAATGCAACCTTTTTCAGCTCTATACTCAACCTGCTTCATCCAATGTCCTAATGATTCAGGTTACGCTTAAGCTCTGTGTACCTAACTTTGGTTAACATTATTAGTTTGCCATTTTTAAGTCTAAAGTAATGTTACCACCCCTTGAACCCTACAAGAGTTATTGTTTCCCATGACCACTATTTCAGGTTCACCAGTTATCAGATTTTGAAACCAGGTTTTGTTAGGGCTCATATGAAAAGAACATCCTGAGTCTACATCCATTCATTAGCAACTTCAAAACTGGACACAGTAAGGGCTTCAGTGATTTCAAAACTGTTATTGGAGGATGCTAGGTTACTCTCTGTACTAGTCTGCTTTTGCTTCCTAATCCAATCATAGCAATTCTATTTTTAGGTGACCAGGTTTGTTACAATGGAAGCATTTCCTAGTCTCTGACTTGACTTTTGTTATTATAGCCTTTGCCTTCTTCTTATTCTTGGTCCTAAGTTTTGTTGAACCCCCTTTACAGAGTCTTTAAAAAATGACCGTATCTTGTTTTCCTTTTACAAAGAGATTATTCCCATTTCTCTTTTGTATTTTCAACTCTAGTTCTCTGGATTTAAGCCAGCCATTATTAAATCTACACTAGGGACTGTGCCAGTGTACTGCATGCATTCTTTCACACTAAGTTCATCAGGAAGAGAATTTAACAGAATCATTGCAAGACTAGAATCTCCTAATTCCTGATCATTTCTTTTTAGCACTATTGTCATTTTTAGAAATTCATCTAAATTTTTCTTCTAATGACTTAAGGCATCTATCTATAAAAAAAAGAGCACCTTTCAAGAATGCTAAATTAGGACAGATTTCAATGCATACAAGTTTCGAGTTTACCCCAGAGCTCTATAGGTGTGTCAGACCATCCACTTTCCGTAGAACACTATCTAATTCATGATTATCAGATTGTATGCTTCTTCATCTATCTCTGCCTTCTTTTTCGTCTTTTCTTCTGGCCATTTGGTTTCATCTTTTTCCAGTGCTATTCCCACCTTGTTGTGGGATAAAGTGCCTTCATTTTTTTCTTCCAGGTATTGAAATCCATCTTCCCATCAACGGGGATATCTCTACACGCATGGTAGTGCTCATCATATTTACGATGACAAGACAAGCAGTATAAGGGTACGTGGCTTTGTTACACTATTATTACCAAATACTGCCAGGAAGTTTTTAAGGAGGTCACTGGTATTCCAGCCTATATACCCTTAAACCAAACAACCCCTAAATCTGGACAAAAAACCCTAATTTTGTTTTGCCCTATTTTGTCATCCCTCGTGTATGTGACCTATTCTCACAAATTAGCCTCAAGACTCAACAAGATTGATAGCCTAATGATCTAGACCTTTAAATCGAAAAACCCCCAATCTGACAAACCCTAATTTTTGAGTTCGTCAAGATTTGAACGATTTCTAACCCTAGACTCGATTAAGACCTAAAAGGCTCTGATACCACTGTTGTATCAATATCACCTCAACCTACAAGATTAGCCACAAACAAACCAAATCTGCAAGAACAAAGCACAAACACACATACAAGATATACCGTAGTTCGCTGTTCTTAAGACAAAGTTACATCCACGTTGAACTCCAGATATGGAGCTCGCTACACTAGTATTGATTTCCTCAAAGATTACACTTTACAGAAGATCTTCTTCACTGATATCCCAGAAACAAACACTCACTCACTTCCCTGTATCCCGTAATCCTAATAGCCCTAGAGTGTTCTATAACCTTCAAGGAACCCCTGCCCTCAAACACAACTAGATAGATTCACACAGAGAAGAAACCCAGAATGAGCATGAAACCCTAACCCAGACCAAACGAATTTTACAAGAGAAAACCAAGAATACCTAAACCCGATTTCCCTCAAATGCGTGAATAGTCCCCTTTTATACTGTTACTTCTGAATGCATTTGAGCCGTTGGATTCTCTTTATCGTTGAGTGCTGAGATTCATTGGAATATTGAACAAAACAACAGCGTTTTGTTTCCTGGTTACGACGTCGTTGCTTCACTTATTTAACACTATCAGCTTATTTATAGTTTCAGATGATAAACATGCTTTTTTAACCAAAGTCTGACTCACAGTTCATAGCTGATTTGATTTGCAGTAAGAATATACCAAAGGGCCTTTACACATGCATCGAATCTTTTTTATTTTATTTAGGTAGAGCCAGTCTGGGACTCATCGAGCTAATGGAATTGTATTATGCTTTTGGCATAATTACGTGATGCCAATAAGGTTATAGTTAATTTTTGTGGTTGAATTTCTAATTAAGGCATGCACGATAAGGAGATATATTTTGTGCTAAGCAGTGTGTTAGGGTGTCATTATCATATATATTAGCAATATGTGAAGAACAAGCAATACCTGGAGAACTGCGCGCTTGCTGATGATGCATATATATTGCCAAGCCATTGCCAAAAAAGCTATATCTGATAACATGCATCTCAAACTAGCTAGTTTGGCTTGCAGAAGAAATTTAAAAACCGAGATTCAAGACATTTTAAATACTGCTTCTGAGACGTGACGAACTGATGACTTTACAGGTTAATCAGAGATCCAGAAGGGTACTTCAGCTCTTCGTGGAAATGAAAGATCACTTTGCCCTTGAATAAAATGATAATGTTAAATATTAATCTTTATTGCTAACTGCTAAGCAATAGTCTCTAGTCAAACTTTCCTTCTTAGGAATTTTCTTTTGTTCTATTTTTTCGAAATTGTGGAGCATCATTGCTATAACTTGAGCAAAGAGTTCCTATCTAAAACGATAATGCGTTGCCGCTATGATTGTGTGTTTGTATGTACATAAGAAATGCAAATGATACATGTATCTTTGATAGGTTTTTTTAATCAATAATACTATACTTACAAAGATTTTCATATAAAGTAAAGTGATAAAAAATAAAAGAAATAGTGAAACAAAAAGTCAAACTCATTATATTCACTCATTCGTTCATTTTTTGTCACATTACTTTCTATGAAGATATTTGTAAGATTTTTTTTTAAGTATAACATTACTCTTTTTAAATTAAACTATTATTGTGACACTCACATTTGTAGTATTAATTTATTAATTAGCAAAAGTTCTAACTTCATAAGAAAATAATCTCATCATAGAACTACACATTTTTTTCTTTTTATCAGTGGGGGTGTCCAAGTCAGTTTGTGCGCACCTCAACTAATCTCTCGGAACCTTAAAACTGTCGATCGAATAAGAGTCCTAATAGCCACCTATCTATTAGTGTCTAGAGGAATTCGAATTTAAGAGCTTATGAAATATATTTTTTATTCTTTTACCATCATGTTACCCAATAGTGGTTTAAGATATCATTTTTTTATCTTCTAACAAGTTTGACTAGTTCCTTAGCCATCCCGATGTTATTAATTTATCTTGCTAAATAGGAATAATCGAAAAACAAAAAGACCCAAATTAATAATATAGTGGAGACATAACACCAAGACTAATCGCCAACATACTTAATTTAGTATAATCCCAATCGATAACACCGGAAAGTTGGCACAACATGTACATAAATTTTTTGGACATTCATTTCTACAAATAAAGCACAAATTAAAGATCCAGAAAGACAACTGGTTTTGTGACAGACTGACTTTGCACTTACATATTCGATAAAGACAAAGAGACTTAGAACATGGCTGTCCCAAGAACCAGACAATTAATTAAGAACATGAAAGTTAATAAAACTATACGTAGAAGGGAGAATCATAGTTTACATTAAAAATAAAAAATAAAAGACCCACATCGACACTCGGTCATCAGCTAAACTTCAGTGGAAGGATCCATAATTTGCTTGGCCCTGGTAATTTCTTCAATTTGTTTCGTCCCGATTGTCTGATCTTCAATTATAACTTCATTTTCAACAGCATTCAACGGTGGAACCACTAAAGCCAGTTCTGAACATACTATTGTGCTTAGTTTCACGATATCAACTATATGTTCTGATAATTCCTGAAGTTTTGGTTGTTGATCCAGAACTTTCTTAGGGTTTTTATAGATCATGTAAAGCACCATTTGGAAAACACCGAAGATAAACCCTAGTACATTCGGAATCTGTTTATGCAAAGAATTAAGAAACAATTATAACAATGAAAGCATAAAAAAAAAGTCGAAATTTCAAGAAATACTGCGTATAAATAATGAACTTACAGCAACGTTCAAGTCCCTAATCAGAAGACCGTAGAAGAACCACATGACTGCACCTAACGTTAGGAAAAATGATAAAGGAAATGGCATGAACTCAGCGCTCTTGGTTCGTATAACTTTTCTCTGCATAAGCATAATGTAATTAGTAACATACACTATTAGTCAGACATCGATCGATCTTTAACAGATTAAGATATGATAAAATTTAGCGCCGGATTTTTTATTTACCACGATGCAAAGAGGAGCAACAAATACGCTCAGAGCAAATGCCATGCATATGTATCCAAGAATCTTGATACGGTTTGCACCTTTTGCTAGAAAGAGAGTGACGAGGCAGATCACACCATACCCAAATACGTTGAACAGGAGAACAAGTTTAAGAGCCACGATCTGCAATTGCATTTCCAAATGAAATTTAAGTTGGAACTTAGAAAAATATACACTTGAGAAATATTAATTTTAACATAGAATTGAGGTGATTAGTGTCTTAAAAATTAATACCCTAGCTTTCTTTGGTGCATAAAAGAGATACACAGCAATGTAGCCAGTCTCTATGACGCAACTGAAAGTGTTGATAGTGATGAGAAGCATAGCATTCTCCTTAAGGAGTGCGTAGTATATCCAAAGCATGGCACTAAAGAGTGCAATCACGTAAGGAACTGATTGAAACCCTTCGGTTGATTTCTTTTTATAAATTTGATAAAATGTCGGCCTGTAACACAAACCCTAGTTGATTAGCATTTAGTAATGAATTTCAATAGTTTGGGTTAGAAAAGAAGACAGAATAGAGAATAAGAAAAAGGAGGGAAAAAAAGAATAAGGCTGAAATCTTACAAGGGAGCAAGGCAGACCAAGAAGGAAATGATGTTTCCTGAAACATTGACAGCAACAAGAAAACAATCATGAATATATTTCTCAAGTAGAAGTCAAATATAAAAAATTACATACCATTAAAATAAAAAATATCAAGTTGACGATATGTTAACCATGCTTTATCATGAAAATATCCACCTTTTGAAAGTGCATCTATAAACAAATTAATAAAGATAGAGACTATTAGAAAAAAAAAATGAATTTCTTTAAGTACATTTAACTTTAAAGATATTTCCTAATTTGCATTATTATTGGATTTTTCATGGACCACGTACTACGAATAATATTCTACACAGAAGCTAATTAAGTGCTTCCATATTTAGTTTCGGAAGCTACAAAGGGGATAAAGACGAGAAATAAATAATGAATTTCTACCTAAAAGGCCAAAAGCAGTAGCCCCTGAGAGGTGAATAGCCATCTCTTCAACTACAATAAACAAATTAGTAATAAGTCTCTCTCTCGAAAGCAGAGTTGAAGGAAGCTCTATTATAACTCGAGAATTCCACGATGTCATAAGCAATCAGAATGAGGCATTTATATAGCAGATAAAAGCAACAAACCTGGTGAGCAAGTTGCAGTAGCAGTGTGTGCCAAAGTGCCAATGGAACAGTGGGTAGAGTTGAGTTCTTTATGCCTTTCCAGTTGTTTCCAAAGACTTTTAGCTAACATATCCAAACATCTTTCTAGTTTATTGCCCAATCTACCTATAATTAGTTCGTTTTCTTTTCAACATTTAACACCATTTCACAAGCTCAGCTCTACTTGTTACTTCCATTCCTAGTAGGCTAGTAGTACATTCACAAAATTCTATGGTCCCATAAAGTTTCTTTCTGATGTGTCATCCACCAAGCGGTTTTGCGACTTACAACTCATATTTCAGTTTAGGGATCTTGATGATACTTCCTCACTATTTCTCAAGGCGTAATTCATGAAATTCTTGCTACTATGTTGCATGTGGCTAATTAATCTCATCTAACCTTGTTACCTTTGATGAAATGATTTATTGGAACCTCCTCAAATTGTTCCTACTTAAGGGTACGTCAAACAACATTAAGTGCTTATAGAAATGACTAGCTAGTTGAATTTGGTCAATTTGGACCATATACATCGTGAAATAACTTTTTCCCATCTTAGTATAAAACTTCTTTTGATATTTATTTTTTTTTTTGCTTGGTTAATAATGCGGGCAAAGAGTGCTATTGAACAAATTGCAATTCATAACTTCATGAATCCAGTCAAATGAGACACGCATACAACAAAACAGATATTGAGACTTAAATACGATCATCCAAAGCTATGACACGCTAGATGCCTATTGAGCACTAATATTACGAGAGTACCAAACCCACTTTCTGAATCCCTCTAGGGTTTGAGCTGAGAGGGGTTTGAAATTTACTATTCATTCTTTCAAAACCCAACTAAAGAAGGGCTTACTGATGTGTATCGCACTTGATAGAAGGAAGCCAGTCAGATCTTTGCTTATCAGGAATGAAGAAGCAATCAGATGGTGGACAAGCGAGCTAGACACATCATTATAAAAGATATGCTGTTTTACCCTAACTAGTAGTAACTTTTATCAGTTGACTCAGTAGCCGCCATGTCCAAACCTAATCTTGTATTTATATTCTGTGTACACCTTGTTGAGCCATTCTGCGTGCTCAAGTTCCGTTCGCGTGTGCTTCTAAACCAGTAAACCACTCTTTCAAGATGCCATGCCATATGGGAAAAGGCCACGCCTTCACTAAAATAAAATAATATGAAAAATAAAAATTTATAATAAATGAAAGAATATATATTTATATAAACTATAAACATAATAAATGTTCAATAAATAATATTACTCACTTCATTAACACCCTGTTGTATTAACTAACTGATGACAAAAACATCATAAATTTCATTTAAATCTCACTAAATTTCATGTCTTCATCTAATCACAAACAAATTAATTTAATTTCTCCGCTCGTGGTCAGATGAATAACCCTTTAGCCACTAGAATTAGATATACCTAAAGGGTTTTGTGTTCGAATTACAAGAAAAGTATCTATTATATTTGTATAATTACCTTGGTCTATTGAGTTTGCATGGTATTTCATAGCCCTGAATATTAGGTAGGCTCCAATATGAACTTGGATACCTCATTTACCTAAAAAAAATAATAATTTAAGGCGCATAAACCTATCAAATAGTAGTTGTTTATTAGTTTATAATTTAAGAAAAAGTTGTTTATGAATTTATATTTACCTATAATTTATAGACTTCAACTGGAACTTTTTAAGTTCACATGAGTCATGAGGACAAGAATTAAGCCTATGGAAGTGGCTACTTTTCTGATTTCAATAAAGGTTACGACGTGTTAATTTTGGTTCTTCTAGTTCTACTAAGAAATTATAAAGTTTGATAGGGGAAAGAATTACTATAATCAAAAGAGATGCTAGCGTTATTGATGTGCTGCCGTAGAGGGAGTTATGTAAGACACAAAGGGGCCAAACATAGGGATTTATTTAAGCGCTTCCAAAGGTTTTTAAGAAAGCAAAAGTGCTTTAATTTTGTTTTTAAAATATAAGTACTTAACATGGAGACACGTACGGAGGAAAAAAATATTGAGGATGGATCGCTGAAACTTAGGCAGTTTCCTAAATACAGGAAGTACGGCCGGCCATCCGACAGAACTGTAGTGGCCCTTCAATTTAAAAGAAGAAAACCTAATATAACTTACTATTTTAAGAATTGAACTTCCCTTATCTGCTCTTAAAAGTTGAGCAAAAGTGAAAGATTTACGTTCGCAATCATGAGTTTNAGCGCTTCCAAAGGTTTTTAAGAAAGCAAAAGTGCTTTAATTTTGTTTTTAAAATATAAGTACTTAACATGGAGACACGTACGGAGGAAAAAAATATTGAGGATGGATCGCTGAAACTTAGGCAGTTTCCTAAATACAGGAAGTACGGCCGGCCATCCGACAGAACTGTAGTGGCCCTTCAATTTAAAAGAAGAAAACCTAATATAACTTACTATTTTAAGAATTGAACTTCCCTTATCTGCTCTTAAAAGTTGTGCAAAAGTGAAAGATTTACGTTCGCAATCATGAGTTTTAAAGAAATACAAGTGGAACTGCATTTTGTTTATGCAACCAAGTACAAACACTTTATAGCATTATCAATTTTTTACGTTTGCTAACGATACGTGTCTTTTCTTGAACCCATCTTCATGCACATAACTCGAAAGAAATAGAACAAGTTAACTTAATTAATTAGTTAACTGTAGATAGTATTGAAGGGAAATTGTGAACTTAATTTGGTTTGTGGTTTGTGATTTTGAATTCTTTGCTGCTGACAGAAACATAAACTAACCATTGGGTCCCTTTCTTTTCAATCAAGAAATTTAGATTTTGCTGCAGGAACATAAATAAATATTTTTCGACAGAATAAAAGTAATATAACACGGACTAGATATATCAAAGTAGAATAATTAATTACCATGAAAATATATATAATATATAATCATGACTGTTATTAACTTATTATAGGAGAAGGCTCCAGTGGGCTTACATGACGTAGAGAAACACCACAACAGGGAGCATCAAATGCATATATGTCAGGATTTGTCCTCTCCTTTACAATAAGAATTTGTACATCAGCAGAGGGAGGAAGAGATGCACTTGTAGACATAAATTTTAAACTACAGACGCAATAAAAGGAAATAGGTACAAGTCCATCACACAGAGACTTAGCATTTACTGAGTGGGTCTTGGTTGCACGTTTCCATGTTTTTCTCTTGGTTATCAGTTTGATTATCATCTGGCACACCCTTGTTCTCAATGTTTTCACCATGGATGGTCTGAGTGCATTCTGATTGCTCCTGCGAAGTCATACTTACGCTCAGTTTCTCGATATCAATAGCTTGTTCTGGTTGCTTGACATCTTTGACAGCCGGCTTGTAATTCCTGTACATTGCATACAGTACCATCTGAACAAACCCGAAGATGAAGCCCAGTACATTGGGCATCTATGAAGAAAAAGACAAAAGATGTTTCATCATTAATTACAAATGCATCCTCAAAAAGTTTCGTATATTTTAACGAATACAAATATATATAGCAAGGATATTATTGCATCTGTTCAATATCTTTATGTATATATGTGGTTCATGAGTATATGCGAAAAGGAAACTTATAATACGGTTCATAAGTAATCTTCTAGAGAATTTTTTCATATTTATTATATCTTGGCTATAGTATACTCACCGCAATATAAATGTCCTTTAGTGATACGCCATAAGAGAACCAACTGATAGCATTCATCGTGAGAAAAAACGACAAGTAAAATGGCATAAACTCCACACTCTTTGTGCGTATGATCAGTCTCTGCAAAATTAAATAATAGTATACTTAACATATTAGAAAAGTTCCCAAAAAGATGGTAAAAAGTTATCATCAAAAATGGAAACAAGCGACAAAATAATATAGGGAAATCATTCAAAAAAAAAAAAAAAATTTGTTACATCCTTACCACAATGCTTAAAGGTGCAGCAAAGACAAACACTGAAAACGAAACACAAACCCAACCAAGAACATGAAGCCGGGTTTGTCCTTTTAAAAAGTGGGAGAGAAGTAGAATCAAGCAAAATCCCCCAAAATTCAACAAAATAAGTAGCCTCAGAGTTAACATCTGCAGTCACATGTAAAAACTCTTTTTAGAAAACTACTGGAACTAAGTTTAGTTAACTATCAACAAAAGAGAAGAGAAAGGTTGTTTTTAAGATACCCTTGCTTGTTTCGGTGCATAAGCAAGGAAGATAGCAATGTAAACAGTCTCTATGACACAACCGAATGCATTTATAGTCATGAGAAGGAAAGCATCAGACTTCAATGTTGCATAGTATATCCAACTCATAGCGCTGAATAGGCCAACCACATATGGAACTGATTGAAACCCTTCAGTCGATTTTTTTTTTAACACCCTATAAAACGTTGGCCTGTAATGAGTTGACAAAATATCAGTGGTTAGCTCTTGGTCTTCCATCTTCCTTCTTCTCATAATAAATGACATGCTAAAATGATAGCAAAACATATAAATGAAAAAAAATAGAAAGTTCAAACAACGAACTTACAGTGGAGCTAGAAAAACCACGAAGGACACCACATTACCTATTTGGAAAAAAAAAAAAAAAAAAACAAAAAAATGAAAACTATCAGTTCACTAAACTTATATTCTCAAATAAAAGATGCATGTTAATTAGAATCCATGTAACGTATATAATATTGCAATCGCGTTTAATAACGCTATAAAGTTGAAGAAGAAGAAGAATCTCTACTATATGTATGATCTACCTAGAAGTCCAAAAGCAAAAGCCACTGGATTGTCAGTAGAAATCACGGGTGCCATGGCTTCTTTTCTCTTTCTCTAGCTAGGTCTTTCAAAAAAAAAAAAAAAATTGAACAAGAGAAAAAAAAAAATGGCCCAGATTAAAGGAGAATTTCTTGCTAGCTAGTTTGTTCTCACATCCAAGCTATTAGAGATACGAAGTTAGGCACAGAGAACGTTACATATTTATAGTGGGAAATCCATGATGCTGCATGAATAATGAATAATTCTTGTAGTACAAAAAACCCTGCACCCAAGTTGCCAACGCAGCATTTATAAAGCTAGTTTAAACTACTATTCTGCCTGACTTACGTTACATACCAAAAAAGTGTTCCTACACTAACGTTCTTTTTTCACGTGACCATCCAATACCACTTTATATTTTAAGCACTTTTGAAAGACTTAAGCCGTTTCTCTGACCCCCATTTGTCATTACCATTATAAACAACCGTCAAAGCCTTACCCTAATGTCTCCACTTATTCACCTATTAGTGCATAGTTTTCACATGCCTCTCTCATAACTATGCCAGGTGTAGCCAAAATGACGCAATCTATGCGCACTATTTTCTGTCAAAGCAACTATTTCTCAATTCATCTTCTTTAATAATTTTATTTTATTTTCTTTTTTTCTGGGATTGTGTTTTAATTTCGGAATGATTAATTTATACATTTAAGCAAGATTATTGCGCTCTATCTCATAGCTTTTGACTGTCACGCGTGAACAGGAGATTCAATGTTAGCTTCTGATTGTTTACATGTGGCTAAGTTTGATTGTGGTGATAGTTATATGTATCTACCAGTTACAAAAGAAAATATATTTCACGACCCTCGTCCTCTCTTTTGCTGCTGCTTGATGTCACTTTAGTGGTTAGTGTTTGATGAATTGAAAAATGAAAGAAAAAAAGTATGAAATTTTATATGTATATGTGATTGCCTTAGTGGGGAAAGATCAATATTTAAGTGGTAGGTGAAGAGAGTAAAATATAGATATCACCTGAAAGGATAAGTTTTACTAAGTATATCCCCTTGATTTAAATAGCTTAGCATATCTTTTATGACTATTAAATATTAATTTATGCGATCTTATTCATTATTTTAACAACTTTGAATGCCAGATATTTTGACATAATGGCTTTGCCGTACGTACGTGTGCTGTGAATTACGAGGTTAGTTAGTGGTTACTTTCATGTGAAAGCAATTATTTATGGCTACCACATGACATCCATGTTTCTTGGTCTTCCTCAGCTAATTACAGTTTAAATCAATTACTCAGCTAATTAGTTTAAAGAATTCTCAAAACGCTAGCTTAATTTCATCATCTTCTTCAAAGATGTCAAAGGCCCTTCCTTCTTGACTCTTGTCATGATAAAAGGACGTTTTAAATTCCACCCGCTTCTTCTCTCTTCCCATTTTTTGTTTTGTTCTTATTCAATAATACCTTCAAATCTTGTTTTTAATATGATCTTTTAGATTTATAAGAACAACCAAATCTGACCGTTTAGATTCAAATCTAATATTTAATTCTACTTAGATTTACACACATATAAATCTATTTATTAAGATATTAAATAATATAGATGTTATACTTAACAAACTATTTATATTTACAAATCAACTTTTATATAATATTTGATGTGAGAATTAATTTTATGCATCTATACTTTGGTATATTTCCATTCCACCTGTGTGTCAACATTGCTTCGGCGGTCAAAATTTTTGTACACGTTTTATTTATGGTTCTTCACTACTGAGTTCACTCACTAGTCGAGACTTGGTTTATTTATAAAAAAGAAAATATTGTCATTCTCGTAATTTCAAAGATTGAAGCTGACATATGTATTGTTGAAATTGGGCGCCAGCTGGAAGTCACGCAAGGAGCTTTCAGTATTGGATTGGGGCCTTGGGGATCGTAAGCAATGTATATATACTATTGAAGCATTTAAAATGAATTTTTGGAAGATTTTTAGGGACGTAACACATATTAGTGGAACTCAATTTAATTAGGATATTTGTATTTTAAAAATCAGATAAAGTTTAAATAATGAATTCTGGAAATGGCAAGCGTATTGATTTTGATGAGGATCAAGGCACGAATATCAATCATTGAATTAATAAAATACAACTTTTGAAAGGATGGTTAGCTCCAGCTGTGGTTATGATCAAAGAGAAAGGTTTCTATCTTCCTAACTAATCTTTTTTTCTCAGTTTAATCAGACTATTGGCTCACCATTTCAATTTCCTATTAAGTCAAAATAATGAACAACTAACCTTATCCAATGTGTCATTCACATCTGCCAACAAATTAAACCACTCAACAATGAGACAGCTGAGGACCAAAGGCAAACGCCACAATTTTCATGTTTGTAATATTATAGGAGAATTAGGCAAGGCGCACTGCTAAACACATCGCGTCTAATATTACACCTTAATTAAAAGAAAAAGAAAAACGTCATGATAGGTCCTTTCAAATGCAAAAGATAGGCCGTTTATTGAAACCATAATTTTATAAGTATAGTAGGCAAAGAAGGACTTATCTGAAAGGAAGGTAACGACTGGCCTGGCACATAGGGACATCGGTTTAAGCTCCCTCAATGGATAGCTCATATGGAATAGGTCTCTGGCTTGTTCCTGTCTGCTCTTTCGTTTTCTATCGGAAAGAGTCGTAATCTTTACTTTCTGTGACCTTTAGAAAAGAAATACCCCTTCCCCTTACTAGATCAAATAGGGGCTTAATAAAAAAATGCATTAACTAAAGTAAAGCACACCATCAACCCAAACTTTATGGGATTTTCCTGTTTTTTTCTGAAAACGTGTACAATTCAAGTCCGGGGGTCTTATTTACAGGTTGACCCGAATAGTTAGCTCCCATTCTTGAATAATTGTTTGTGATAACTGATAGATTTCTTTTTATTTTTTTAATAGCACTATAAATCGAAATTGTCATTTCATTGGCATGAAAAATAAGGCAGGATCATGACTACTTTAAATTATCATGCCATATATACGCATATGGTATGCTAGGAATTAATTAAAAATACACTTCCAAACTATCATAATTAGTTCATTTAGAACAAGCATTCAATGCTAAAAGAATATAAAAGTCTCGTCTTAAAACAAAAAAAAATAATAATAAAAAAAATCAAACATTAGATATACAATAACAATTAATTCTGTGTATGTATATTTTTTTTATTTTTTAATGCCTTCGGAATTATAAATCAGAATCATTCAAATTCTCATATTTTAAAGATTATTGTCGATAAGAATCTTTGATTTAGAATGTGTCCCATGTTAAAGATTATCTTAATTTTCCTGTAATTAGTGCAAAAGTATAAAATAGTACAAATCTTCCAATGAATGGTCGTGGATCCACCACATTTTGTATTTTGTGAAAATTTTAATTAGATTCAAAATTAAGAAAACTTTTATATACGAATATGATATTATATGGAACACTCACAATGCCAGGATATCTAACAATATAGCATAAGTACAACGATGATAATATTATAAATTTCCTTTTGTGCTAAAGTTTCATGGTTTTATTTGCGCACTTCCATTTAATATATTGTCTTCTTAGACTCATCAAATTAAAGCCTTACCTCATTCGTCACACTCTATTTAATTGTTTTCTTTTTATCTTAACGTGTTCAGCACATTCGGTGCTCAAGATTAATCACATGCTCCACGGACAGAGCTCGTATTTATGATATATATATATATATATATATATATATATATATACAGTGAAAGACTGAAATTCATATAGAAAGAGAGATTTGAATTTAAGAGCATTATCATATGCTAAAACTACGACTAATCCTTGAATATATCATTTGATTGTGAAAGTGATAACACAAAGCTGAGAAAATAGTATGCATATATTTTCATCCTTGAATGCACAATTCAAGCAAATTTCTGGACAAGTGATGCTCAGTGCTCACATCCTGTTTGGGTTGGGCAGTCTGTGTTTTTGAGCACCGAATTAAAATAACAAAATCCACCATTAATATGCATCTGTTGTGAGACTTGGGGTGTTCAATGGCAATTTGGATAAATGTCACACTATCTTACATTAATCTCAGTATTTCATATTGGATTGGGATTTGGGACATAGCTTGTACCTCAATTAATTAATATTGCCGACTTTGCTGCTCTGTTTGTAGTATTTAAATTCTAAGCCTATGTGCAGCTCCAAAATTTAAATACATACAGAAGCAACGCATAAATAATATTCCTATCTCAAAATAAAAACATCAAAGAAATTCTAGCAGTATGGAATTAAAGAAGTTCTGGAATAATTAGTTTGATCATTACTTTAAAGTTTTCGAATGTATTAAGTGAGGTTCTATGGTGTAGTGGTTAGCACTCTGGACTTTGAATCCAGCGACCTGGGTTCGACTCCCGGTAGGACCTTTTTTTTCTCTTTTTAGAATTTGGGCCGTAGCGCATCCCACGACCGGGGGTCGAACCCTTTGGACATGAGAATTTGGGCCGTCGCTTATGGCCCAGTTTCCTTCTCCCACAAAAAAAGCCCAAACAGTTTCCCGGTGGGTTTCAGCTCTCTCTAGAAAGATGATCAGTCTGAAAACGTATTCAAAATATTGTTTTATTCATGAATAAAACCCTCCCCCATTTCATTCTATGCATGATCTGTTTTTATGTACTTATCAACTTTCGATTTTGTGAATAAAATTGTTAAATAATATGTTTATTACAATATTTTCTTCCTTATTTTATTTAGAAATAAACAGAAATCTTTATAATTAATAATACCTCCAGAAAAAGAAAAAAGATCATGTATATTTTACATTACAACAGAAACATACTAAAGCAATATCTTATGTAAATGAATACGAATTTTTTACTTAAGGATTCTCATCTAGAATGTGATTGTGATAATTTTATTTGGGATTATATTTAAATGGCAGTAGATATAATAGTTCATTAACTTCTACCAGATTCTCATCAACAACAACAATAATATTAGCGTCAACTCCCACCTTTTCTTCTTAAATTTCTCATCTCCCCACCGCCACACAACCACCATCATCCTCATAAACTCACATCTATATCACCATCAATATTTATTTATTTTTATGATTCTAGGTATTCGGACTAGTTTAGA